AACAACAACAACAACAACAACAATAATAATAATAATAGTAATAATAACAATAATAATAATAATAACCTTAAAAAACCGGCATGGTAGAGGGGAAGCTATATGATAATTCTAATTTAAGTTTCTTCTGCACGTGCACGAAATGTATCCTAAGAAAATAACAGAAATAATGACTGAGTGATGCATCTGGCAGATGGGCAGTCAACGCGACTACCAAACAACCCAACAGACGCCTAACATGAGGTCGGATGTCTCAAAATTCATAACATCATGTCGTCCAATTAGACACATCTTTTGAAGTTGAACATTCCACTAATGCTATGCATAGCTTCTCTGACGTTGAATAAAAGATGCGGCTTTCCGTCGACTGCTTTCTGTGTAATTGGATGAATTTGATGACTAATTAAGGATGTTTCAGTTGATTGTTCCCACACAAGTTGATCTGATGCGTGGTCATTGCTTGGATCCAAAAGACCCCACGCTTAGGAAAAAACCGTTGATTGATCTCGTTTTTTTCGAAGACATTAGTGTATTTTCCTATTCAGTGGGACTGTTTTGTCTTTGGTCTTCAGGAATGAGTCATTTGACTCCACGGTTCGTCTGTGTTACTGGATATAATTGGCCATTTGCATGATGGCTTCATTTTACTACCACTATCAAAATGCTGCGCGAATTTTCTTCCTTATTCAAATTTGTATTTCCTCATGAGAATACTAAGACAATTGGTGCTAATCAACTGAACAAAAGAAAGTGTGCAAGGGATTCTGGTAGTGGTAGTAAATGACGCTATAATGCAAGTGAACTATAGAGGTTTTGCACCATCACGTGACGGCAGCCATGTTAGATGGCAGGARCAATACAAYCGTTTTACAYRAGAAAGAATTCAATTCCCRAGAGCAAAGGGATCTTATTGTTCTGCCATGGCATCTAACCACAGGTAGCCCAAGCTGGATTGGACGGCACTTTCGAGATATTACAATTCTAGCACGATACCGAAGCTCTCCGGAATAAGATGTTCAAAATTGCATTAAACCTCAAAAGAATCAGTGGACATAGTAGGTGCTGTAGATTCGATTCTAACATTGGTATAGTATACTGAGATCGTTTAAGATAAAATGGGCTTCCTGTGGTATGCGCATGCGCATAAATCTAGTATGATTATTTTCATTTTAGACCACGTGTCACTTCTTTTCTTGAGAATAAACGCATTTACAAGAGGGGACTAAATAGATGCCATCTTGAAAATATGTACCCTTTAAAAAAAACAAAATGTAAAACCACAATGCCCACTCGACCTCGAAATAGCTAACACCAGGCACTAAATTCAATATATTTTATAGTTTTATTCGTAATATCATTTCAATATAGGATTTATTAGAGCATTTTAAATTATTATCTAATATAAGATAGATTTGTAAAGCTCATTTGATCATATGTGTATGGATTTTGCGCTATATAAGCATTAAAATTATTATTATTATTATCATTATTATTATTATTATTATTATTATTATTATTACTGAATTTCCTTATATTTTAGTTAGCAAATGTGTTCACAATATCTTTTGTGTGTGTTTAGACTTTTGTTGCTGCCAAGATTTTTAACGCGTTCCTGTCCAGTACTAGTGCCCTCTTCCCTCTATTCCCCCCCCCCCCCCCCCCCCCGAGGTGTTTCCGAAAATCAATAGAACAATGCTCAAGAGAATGACATACGGTCTGAGATACTAAAGACGGTTATGCTTCAACTAATCGGTCTATTCACCAACCAACAAAGCAAGCACTAGTGGTCTGTGGCGATCAGACGAATAAAACTATGAATACAGAGCTTCGAAGAAATACTTGACTTCAAACACAAACATGAAATTTTCATAAATAAACGGCAATATAGCTCATGCGGCATTCTGTTAGCGGTTGAGTTTTAACAAGTGATTATGAGTTTTCTTTATCACTTTGGTTTTATAGGATTACAAGTTTCACCGCGTTGTTCTTTGAAGATCCTCARTTCGCGCGCGCGCGATTCCACGCACGCGCAAAGTACTTGCGCGTTGAAGAAGTGAGCGAGCGTGACACTAAAAGATCAAGTATTTTGAAAACAATTTGGTACGTTGCTCTTACATTTGTTCTTGATTATTTTAAGTTGACACTGCTACCGACTTAATGGACAAAATGCTCCTAAAAACAGACTTAACAACGAAAAAAGAAATAAGAATCTGATCATTTTTCCAGATGTTCTGGGCGTTCGTTTACAAGCTARCTTTTACAGAATCGTTTGCAACGAGTGCGATTTTACTTATTATGGACAGAGTGAAAGATCACTTAAGAGACGAGTCGTAGAGCACTAAGGACTGTTTGCAGCAACGCAYCGTTGTCTACGGTCGCGCTACATGCAAAAGACACACGACATGACTGATTGATTTTGACAAAACCATCGTAGAGAAAGAAAAGAATTTCCATTAGCTACTGTTTCTGGAAGGTTGGTACACAATGGGAGATGACAGATCGATGGGACGACTATATCAAGCCTCCAGAAATATATAGAACGCTTTTGAGATCAAGTAGCGAGCGCTTACTAATTCAAAATCGTTATGCTGAACAAGTTCCTTGATCGGAGACCGAAATGTCTAATTGTAAAACATGAAAAAGTCATAMAAAATAAAGAGTAAAAAAATTCATAAACATGAATCATGATTGCAATTTCAAGATAACTTGTACCAGTTCATTTATTAATTGTCCCTCAATAACAATTAATCCCTTGACTCTATAACGAATAGCTTTCTTTCTTGTGTAACTTCTTGTGCACACGGGAAAAAAAAAACATTTCGCGTAGTTTTAGCGACAATCCCGCTTTGTATAAATAATGCGTTAATCTTTAAAAAAAATATTTCTCGAAATCGATTCCGTCTTGCAAGAAACCCGCAACCGCGCCCAAAGGACAACCATATGTTACATTARTTAGTTCCAAATTTGCGGGTTAAAATGTCAACAGTTAAAATGAGTTCTGTTTTTCTAAAGACGCACGATTTTCTCGAGAAATTGAGGTGAGTTGAGGTGTAGGGTTTTAATTAATTTGTTATGTTTTTGTYTTACTTGACTGTAATAGCCTCTCGTGTTTCATGATATCTCGTTACAAAAAAACCACAATGAGAAAATGTTTTGGATTTAAATGAATCAGTCTGGCGCGCGGTTAAACCCGTAATCCTTTAGTTGGAGCAATCGTGGTGAAGTCTAGTATCCCCCACAGCCGCTTTCAGTGTCGTCACGCAACTCAGGGGAGAAATCGTTGTGTGACGACACTGAAAGCGGCTGTGGGGGAGACTAGGTGAAGTCAGGATATCGAATGTTTGAAATTARCGCTTGCAAACTCGCAAAGTGTGAGTGAAATTTTGTATTGAGCGAGAAAGAAAAAATTTAACTAGCTATGTTTGCGAGTATGACCACAGTCCAGAAAGTGAAGGAGTGAAAAGTTTAGAACCCGCATCAAGTAACCTTTGGTTATTCGCCGCGATCGATCACTAGTGACCTTGAAATTTTTGCTAGTGAGAACGAAACAAACTATCAAGGTTTTGCTAGTGGGTTTAAAACTTGAAGAGATAACAAGCTAAGAACTAGTGTGAGCTGCGTCGGTGTTTCTAATGAAACAGTAATGATAAAAAGGTAAATTCTGCACCGCATGAAAAGATGAAGCAATGGTTTGGAATCCCCTCAAGAAAGACTTCAAGGGGGAGGGGGGGGGGTGCGTTAGAGTGAAGGCAATCGACCTCTAATGTTTTCCCATTTCAGACCACGTGTCATTCTCTATAGACTGCGAGCGGTCCCACACACAAAGTACGATGTTACGTGCATAATTAAATTTATTCGCTTCTCCTGTCACGAATTACTRAGCATTATGCACGAAGCCTCACATTGAAGCCTTTGTGCGTGACAAGCGAAGCATATCTCGGAAGTGGGCTATTTAGCTTGTTAGGTTTTGCGAAGTTGGAAAACAGAAAAACCTGGAGAAAAAAACTCTCGAATCGAATGAGATACGAGATCTCTCTCCACATGCAGGTTGATCATTTTCTCACGCCCTTTTCAACATGCGATGTTAATCTTTCTCTCCAGGCAGCGGGAATAAAGAGAGGTGTTTATCAGGTCCGYGTTATTCTGGTGCAGACGCGACGTCTGCTACTGAAGATGCTAACACACTAAACATSATATCTATGTATGATAGAAGAACTCGTTTCTTTCCCTTGAGACAAAGATTCTTTGTTTGAGTTGTATCCATATTCATGTGTCTTCTCATGTGCAACCGTTAAACAAAGAAATAAAACTCTAGGGAATGACAGGTGGTCTGCAAATGGGAAAACATTTTGCCCAAGGTAAAGAGATGTAATGGCTAAGTAGCTTTTGGTAACGCGTCATCACGTCGTCCTAATCAGGGTACACTAGATTAACTACAACGATATGACCAGTTAAGTAAGTTAAAAAGCCTTAAGTTTTTATAYAATTGTCGAGAAATCGGAAGAAAAAAGATTGTTGAAAATCTTAATCAACTATGGTTCTTTCAGTATTATCTCCCTATGGAATGATATGACAAGTTAAACAAGTTAAAAAGTCTTTAGTTTATAATACACCGACTTGCAAGAACGTTGTCATACGAAAATAGAACAGTAGTGATTTAGTGGGATAGGAATTATATTAAAAAACAAAAGACGATCACTGAAGCTGAACTTTTTCTTTTGTCTTTTAATGTATTCCTTTCTCACTAAATCACTAATGTTCTATTATCGTATGTCAACGTTCTTGCAAGTAGGTGTAACTGTCGAGAAATCGGAAGAAAAAAGATTGTTGAAAATCTCAATCAACTATGCTTCTGTCAACATTATCTCGCAATGGAATTGTTATACACGATATGATTGCAAAATCACGATGCTTTAAAAGCCAACTCCCGCCTTTCTCCTAGATAAAACCTAGCACACCTCAAGCTCAAGATTTTCTGGAACTTTCCTTACAAAATGCACATCTTTGCTGACCTACTTCCTCCCCGCCACACCCTACCATCATTTCAAAGTGTTTTTCGTTATTTTCGAATTTCAAAAATTTTCCTGGCAACGATCCTACAACCCCCCAAAAGAAAATTCTTGACCCTTTTACAGTACAGTTATATCSCTATTACTGAATCGTTAGGTCTCTAATATAACAAATATGCGAGTATTAATTTTATTAACCTCAGACGTTAACAACAAATAGATGCTTTCATTTATACAAGTGACTTTTCAAATTCTTTAACCAAAGCTTTTGTTACGAAATAAATATCCTAAATTCCAATCCCTGTGAGTCAATCTTTTTTCCRTTGCAATATGTCTTTATATGCCGTCAACCTCCGAAAATAAGACCCCGAACGCGGTTAGCCATACCAAATAAAGCCACTATTATTTGAAACGCAAAACCATTCCTATAATAAGCTCTGCCAACACATTGGAGCTATATTAAGAATAAACCYGTSAARTAGAGTGAAGTCAYTAAACCCGTGCAATAGATATTWGRCTAATACACATTAATAAACCCTAATTCCATTGTTTTTTTCTGTGTCTATTTGACTATTACACGTTGACTAGTATTTTTTATTTCACGGGTTAAATGCCTTCACTCTATGAAGCCTGTATTCGTGTCACAATAAAGCTTTATGTTATTGCTTAGAGAGATGTCAGGTTCAAAAAGAACAGTTCTTTCCCGCAGATTACAAGCTTAATATGGCATTTTGTGCCCCGAAGTGTCAARCGCATATTTTTAACCTAAATCTGTCCGAAAATAAGTCTCCAAAAGGTGAGGGTACATTGAAAAAACATTAGCCCCTGAGGGGTTATGTTGAAGGCGTAGACTATTAGGTTACGTTTTGATCCTTATAATTAGACATTGCTTCAAATTGGATTAACCGTCCGTTTTTGTCATCATGATTCCATTAAACCTGTTGTTTCCGAATTTCTTGTAAGCGA